AATCCAGCGGCTGAGGGACTGGGGAAGCCGGAGCTGAGGCCTACAGGGTTGAGCAAGCACCACCATCCTGGCTCCAGCACAGCAGAGAGAGAGTGTGGGTGGCACTGCCAGCTCAGGGCACAGCAAGCTGAGCCTGCCTGGCCCCACTGCTCAGCCTGTGTATGTCAGGTTCCCTCTGTGGTGTGTGGTGGCCCAATGGCAGAACACCTCTTTTTTGTCCTAGGGGACCCCAAGGTGCCCGTGCTGTACGAGGTGGAGCGGACCCGTACAGGGAAAAGCTTCTCTGTTCGTTCTGTAAAGGCCATCCAGCATGGAAAGCCGATCTTCACCTGCCAGGCCTCCTTCCAGCTCTCCCAGGGGAGCCCAGTGCAGCACCAGTTCACCATGCCTGCTGTGCCACCCCCCGAGGAGCTGCTGACACAAGAGGAGCTCATCCAGAAGTTCTTGCAGTGAGTAGAGTGGAAGGGGAATGCCAAGGACACCCTTCTCTGCAGCTGGGGCTTAGGGAGACGCAGGGGTTGGGGTGACTGCCTGAGGAGTTTTCAAATACACGTGGGAGGGAAGCAGGACAGGACAGGGCAGGACCCATGCCCATCCTGCCTTTCTGTGTGGCCCTGGGTCCCTGAGCTGATGGCGGCTGAAGCCACTGCCAGCAGGATGTGCCTCTGGCCTGCCTGGCATTAACCTCTCTTCTCCGTGTTGGTCTACAGGAATCCTAACTTGGCGGAGAGATACAGAAAGCATCTCAACAAGATTCAAGCTGAAGATGTGCCGATTGATATCAAACCTGTGAACCCACCAGATATATTCTGCTCAGAGCCGCAGGAGCCAAAGCAGCTCTTCTGGGTGCGAGCACGAGGCTACATAGGTGGGTCCCACCAGGAGGGTGGTCCAGCTGCCTCATGAGCTGAGGGCTTGGCCTCAAGCTTACGCTGTTAGAGCACACTTGTGACGGAGTGGGCCAAGAGGGTTGTGGTTTGGAGGCTGTCTGTGCCCCAAGCCTGTGGAGAAGCCTGAGGATTTCAAGGCTGAAATACAGGTGTGGGTGCCAGAGCATCAATCAATGCTTTCCCCAGAGGGCATGGCAAGGGGAGCAGGCCTGAAAGAGCATCTCAGCTTTGCTTGGCCAGCAGCTGGCCCTTGGGGAAGCAGAACTGGGGCTTTGCCTAACGCTACCTGCCCAGGCTTGTCCCACGGCCACCCCCGGCAGTGCCAGTTGCTTTGCAGGAGAGACTGACATGAAGGTGCACTGCTGTGTGGCCGCCTACATCTCCGACTATGCCTTCCTGGGCACGGCCCTGCTCCCGCACCGGCAGTACCGCATCAAGTTCATGGTGTCTCTCGACCATTCCATGTGGTTCCATGCGCCTTTCCGAGCAGACCACTGGATGCTGTATGAGTGCGAGAGCCCCTGGGCTGGTGAGTCCTCACCTTGTTTCCTGGGGACCTGTGTGGCAAAGACCAGCCCTGCCAATCCTGGGGGGCAGTGGGCTGCAGTCTGACAGGTCCTCTCTGCAGGTGGGTGCCGGGGACTGGTGCAGGGACGGCTGTGGCGCAGGGATGGGGTCCTGGCTGTCACCTGTGCGCAAGAAGGAGTCATCAGGGTGGAGCAAACGCCAACCCAGAGCAAGCTCTAGCTCTGGAGACCTGTGTGGCAAAGACCAGCCCTGCCAATCCTGGGGGGCAGTGGGCTGCAGTCTGACAGGTCCTCTCTGCAGGTGGGTGCCGGGGACTGGTGCAGGGACGGCTGTGGCGCAGGGATGGGGTCCTGGCTGTCACCTGTGCGCAAGAAGGAGTCATCAGGGTGGAGCAAACGCCAACCCAGAGCAAGCTCTAGCTGAGGAATCCCCATGGGCTGGGGCTGAGGCACGCCGATGTGGGACCCCGGGACCAAAACAGATGCAAGCAAGGTGGGACCCTGGGCGACAGCAGGAAGGAGCCTCGAAGGAGACTGGGCTGGATCCAGCATTGCGGGGATGGGGACCTGCAGATGCATCCACTGTGACCGACTACCAGCTGCACAGCATGTAACTGCACACTACAACCAGCCACCCTTCACCTGCCTTAAATAAAGCCCTCCAGTGAACAGCTGGGTTCTGTCCCTTGGAGTTTGTCCCCTTGGCCCCTGTGATTGTGCTCAGCTGAGGGAGCCTCTCCTGGCAGGGGAAGGGCAGCAGCACTGGGAGCCAGCTCTGCCCTTGCAGCAGGCTGGGTCGCAGGAGGGGAAAGTGCTACTACGGCACATGTGGCTTCCCCTTCTCACTTCTCTTGCCCTTTTTGTGCCCCGGCGCTTGTCAGTCGCTGCTTCTGCTTACCCTCCATCTCTTCCCCAGGGCCGGGCTGGCGAAGGGACCCAGCCCCTAGGAGCCG